GTGCTGATAACGATGTCAATCCACAGCACATTTTTTACTATTAACTTGCTCCACCTCGCTCTTATTAGGTCGTCCCGAAAACTTTTGCGCACGATTTTCAAAAATTCATAATTTCACATTTTTCCAACCGATTTGACTGCTTTCACTTTTATGTGAAAGGGTAGTCATGCTCTTTTATAATGACATCTCAGCTGCTTAATAATGATCATCTTTTGCATAGATAGGAGCGATAGAAGAAAATCGGTCAAAATTTGAATTTTCTGTGTAGGGTCATAAAAAATTGTGGACTTGCAAGAAAAATCGGAGCAGTCAGTGTTGTTGGTTCTTTCACCAGCTCTTTTTAACAGTGCAAAGTTTGCGCCGATTGAGCGTCTCTATGAAAAGTTATTATTTTCTGAAAAATGCCAAAATGAACCAAATTCGCCCTTTCGTATTGCTTGCTCGAAAATCATAACTTTTCATAGAGACCCTCAATCAGCGCAAACTTGCACTATCAAAAAGAACTGGTGAAAGAACCTACAATACTGACTGCTCCGATTTTCGTTGCAAGTCTCCGATTTTTCATGACCCTACACAGAAAATTCAAATTTTGACCAATTTTTATCTATTTCCTATGTATGCAACAGATGACCATTAGTAAGCAGATAAGATGTCATTATAAAAAAACATGACTTACTATTTCATAAGAAGATAGATGCAGTCAAATCGGTTGGAAAAATCAGAAGTTATGAATTTTTGAAAATCGTGCGCAAAAACTTTCGGGACGACCTGTACAGTGTGTTGGCTATTATGGGTCCCGAAGCAAATGATTTTTAGAGCCGGGAAGCAAAGAAGCCTTAACATGCTGTATACCATTCGAAAGCAGAAATCATGGAGAATCGGTCTACGTTTGTTAATGAAGACTTGCTCTTTAACACAGATAGATAATCACCAGCGATTAGGTCTTCATTTGGCAGAAATCTACGATCTTGGTCGAATCCCCTTTTCCTGAGCTTTCGAATAGTATATAGGTTGCTAGGCGAATAAACTTTACAGTTTTCAAAAATGGGGTGGAGATATTTACTATTAGCTTGCTCCACCCAGCTCCGCCAATGTACTGGCTTTTATCGATCACCGGAGCAAATGATTTTTAGAGCCGAGAAGCAAAAAAGACAACATGCTTTATACTATTCGAAAGCTGAGATCATGGAGAATCGAGACGTAGGCCGTCGACTTTTTTCTAGGTCTTCTGCGACGCGAGATATTTATTTATTTATTTATTTATTCAATACGCACAAAGCGTGCCATAATTGGAACAAAGAGCAAAATACGTGGAGCATGAACAGTAAAAAATAACAAAACATTCCCAAAAAAGGGATTTTATGTACATATGAGGGATTTTATGTACTCCAAAAATCAACTGCTTTTTTGTCCTCACTTTCTGCTCTCCAAATGAATGCTACGAGGATAAATAAATAATATAAATAAACATATACCTTTCTTTTGTAAATTTATGAGTGTACTTGTTGTTTGAGGTACGTAGCCTGCAAAACCTTTTAATAATGATTTTTATCATATTCTCAGAGTACAATACCAATCTCAGCCCAGGTGAAGGGGGTCATCGGGAGTTTGGCCTCAAAGTGAAGGGGGTAAGATTCATCACTCCCCCTATCGCAACTATGCTCCCCCGCCAAAAACTCTGTGGGTCCGGCCATCACTGCGACTTATAATACATACACTGCTTCATAGTTTATTTATTTATTTATTGCACGCACAGGTGCGCCAAACAAAGAGAGAAAAAGAAACAATGGCACAGATTGGTGTATCACTTATCACTTGCTGGAATGTGCAGGTCGTTCTCCTTCGCCGGAGGGTGAGGAAGTCTCAGCCGAAGTCCTGGTCCCTTACCCAAACGCAATGTATGGACGCACCTACCAGGGCTTGGCTGACCAACTTAACCCGTGACGGACGAATCCGTTGGGGACCCTGGGCGAGTGGGAAGGGGGGACCTCAAGGAAGAGAGCTCACCGGGTCTTCGGATTCCTCGAACGGCTGTTCCAAGCAAAGTCATTATCAACAACCTGGCGATGCTTCAAAAAAAGTTTAGTGAAGTACTGACACTGCGAAATTTTTGTAAAAATTGTCCGAAATCAGAAATCCGAAATTCCCAAAGTCTCAAGAACATCTATCGTTGCCAACTTCTTTCGAAACTCTGCAGAGGTGGCACAGGCAGTAATATCACTCGGCAAAAGCCTAAGCCATCTTGCAGTTCGACATATAAACGAATTAAAAGTGATGGTAATGTTTTTACTTCCCAATTTACGATATCCTAGACCAAATCCACCTGTTCGACTTCCATGGGGTCTAAATATCCAAAACTTGCTTGGTTTGAGCTTGGTTTCTAGTCTCAAAATTCGGAAACAAAAAATTAAGTCATTGCACACTCTTCTATATCTCAAGCTCCGTAATCCCAAAGTGCACAACCTTGATTTGTACGACGGTAAAGCTTGAGGATAGTCAGAACAGGGGTAACATCTGTAGTAAACAATTCTAGTAAACGTCTTTTGCACTGCTTCCAGCTTCCCAATGCTCTTCTTCAAAAAGGGGCTCCACACAGGTGAAGCATATTCTAGAAGTGGAAGGATGTAAGTCTTATACAGCTTAACCAAAAGCGTTGGTTCGTTACTGTGGACACTTCTTAAAATGATAAAAAGAATTGAAAGAGCTTTTTTGGCTATAGATTCACACTGAAGAGTGAATTTGAGCTGATCGTCGACAAAAACACCCAAATCCTTATTAACATTGCAGAGCTCAAGTTCAGCACCATCACATGTGTAGATATAGGGCTGGGATTTGCCTAAGTGCAAAATTTTAGATTTTTGTGCATTCTGCGAAAACTTGCACTTTGACGTCCGGATGAGTTCTCAAAATTACTGGTAGCTCTGCAGTGTACGCCTTTTGAAACACTCCTTGAGAAGAAGCGATGCTTATTCTGTGAAAACACGTTAGCCAAGTTGACAGATCTTTACTTTCACAGTCACCGCAATCAATTGCTTCATTTTGCGATTTCCCAACATTTACGTGCAAAAACCTTCCCATTCTTTGTTATAGAATGATATTCTAACAGAATTTCATAGGTTCTCTGTTCGTAAAACCTTGGCACTGTAGGCAGACTTAGTTGAAGACTCAGTGTCGTCCACTTAAAACGAATCGAATGAAGCAAATGGAGGAGGGCATCGTATAAAGCGGCGATACTATCTTTCAGGCCTCTAAGAAAGGCATTACTGCCGAAACGTCAGGCTAAGTAAATAAATCTTATAATAAATCTGTGTAGCAAGACATTACAGAAGATATTCTGATACTTCATACATAGTAGAAAGTCAATTAAAGTGCTGATTTTCGCACTGTAATGTAGAGACAGTCCGCTGGAATTTTGTCGAAATTCATAAGGTGATAGCTGCCGGCAGGTTAGCGCAGAAAATGGTGTGCTCTCTTGGAAGAAGAAAATGCCAGCATCGCAACATGCTTTATCATTTTAACATGCTAAGGGCATCCGTGAGTTTGGATATCGCGGCACTATCACATAACTCACGTTTCAGCCAAAGAACCTGGAAATTCCACTTTTTTTTAAACTAATCACACCATACTTCTTATACAGCAGAAAAGCAAAAATGATTAAGATGTCGTCGAAGCAAATTTTCGATGCAGACAGACAGACAGACAGACAGACAGACAGACAGACAGACAGACAGACAGACAGACAGACAGACAGACACACACACAGACACACAGACACACAGACACACAGACAGACAGACAGACAGACAGGACAACAACACCAATGCGCAGACGTTTCCTCAAACTTGGGTAATTAGACCCCATTTCAGTTAAATACACAGCAACAAGCGAATAATGTCAGAACAAATAAATCCATGTCAATTCATATTAACTAGATGAAGAAACATCAATTGGATAAAAAAAACATGTCAAACAGCGCCAAAAAAAACCAATAATAATGACAAACACAAGCGCATCAGTGTAGGCAGTCTGGGATATAGAAGAAGCGCAAGAATAGTCTTGAAAGCTTTAACAGCGCAGAAAAGCAGAGCATATTTTAAGGTACAAAAATCACAGAAATCAAATTTTTGAGAGTTTTTTTTCTTTTTCTTTCGCGCTTTTTCAAAGAGTAAAAAGACAAGATGTAAAACAACAATATGGGCAAACAATGACAAATAAAATGATATTCAAAGAAAAAGAAGCGCAAAAAAGTTTGAGCATTGAAATGAAACAAGAGCAAAGCGATGTTTGCCTCTTTTTATGTGTGCCGAGGCGAGCGCCGTTCAAGCAAAAACATTACACTCAAACTGATTTTCTCTTGCCTTTAACGCTTCTTCTTCGCTACCGTATTTTGATCGCGGCGATTCTCGCCGGCCTAGGGAAGTAGGTCCTGACGGATCTCCCGAACTTCCATCTGAATTTGAACAATGCGTTGGAAGTGTCGTTCCTTCGACTGCTTTGCTTGTTCCAGTCGTCGGAAAATTTCCTGAATCGTGCGCGGTAGTTCGAGCAGGGCCGAGTATTGCCCTTTTTCCTGACAGTGGAAGCACCTGTCATAAGCTATTTTGCAAAGAACTCTTCCTGCGCGATATTCCAGGCAAGTTGCGCATCTTCCCTTCATTTCCAGGACTTCTCGTCATTCCCGTCCTGTCACGATCTCTGCGTAGGAGCCGGAGTGATAGTTTCCGACTTCACTGCAGAACGCGCACGACATATCCCTTACGAAGTTCTCTTGGATCTTGCTATGGTATCTGCGGGCCCAGCAAGTTTTCTGATTTTCAAGTTTTTCAGTCATCAAATTCAAATCCGCAATAGGCGGTCGGTTCGATCTAGCTCCAGTTCCAACGTAGGGACTAAGAGCCTTTCGTTATGCAGACGAGTTTCTTCTGGTATCAAGGGCTCATCAGGTTCCTCTCTGGCCGACTCTTCCATGATTTTCCATTCTGGCTGTTCCTGGACCTCGTCTACTTCATCAGATAGCGATGCGTCTTGCATTTTAACCGCGCATATTCATCTTTTTTCTCCTCTTCAGCTGTAGGGGCTTCTTCCTCAAGTTTTGCGGCGGCGCCATCGCTACTGTCTTCGTTTTCCTGCCCTTCTGCTTTGCTACTGTCGTCTATCGGGGCTTCCTCCATCAGCTTTGCTGCAGCGTCATCCCTATCATCTTCGTTTTTGCCCTTTTACTCTGCTATTGTCTTCTGGCAAGGCTTCTTCCTTAACCTCTGCGGCGGCGCCTTCTCCCTCTTCAATGATGTGTTCGATATATGTCGATTGTACCGTTTCATTTCCTGAGTTTTTCCCGCTTTTCGACGGCCGTCGTCAGATGATTGTTTATCTCTTTTTGTAGCTCATGAGATTTAATTTTCGCATCCCTTTTCTCTTCTTCAATTTTATCGCGTATATTTTTTAGAAGTTGTGATTGATAGTCCAGGGTTGCTTGCTGATGGTAGATGGCGCTGTGTATCGTTCAAATTTCACTTCCAAATTTTTCGAGCCTTTTCATTTTGCCTGAAAATTAGTCATTTTCAGCAGAGAGGCGAGTATTCGCCAGCCAAATGTCTAGAGGCAAAAGTGCGTGCAGAGAAAAGCGCATGCGATTGCAATGAGTGCTACGAGGGTTTTGTACTGACTCAGTAAGAGTTCTGATATATGCGCAAAATTGAGCCATGCTATTTCATCACAAGTTGTGCTATTTCCTTTCAGTTTTGTAAGCACAATGCCATGCAGCGCTCCTGCATACACTGTAAAACGCCTGAAACTATAAATTCGTGCGATTTTGTGCCGCATTTTATCGTGCAGTTTAAATTTTGTCTAGCGCTGCTGAAATGGAAGAGCAATGTTGATTGCGGCGCTGAGGGTGAGCATGACACTACGGATGCGTTTTGTTGACAAGGTATTTCTCCTAGTCGGTGCTTCTGATCGGCACTCTATGCGCGCTTCTGCACCTTTTGCGCAGTTGTAGCATCTCTTGAGGTGAGAATCGTTGATAACACAAATGTTATTGTTAAGCTCTACAAGCGCGGAATTGAAGGTGTTTTTAAAGTTGACAATAAATTTTGCAGTGACCACGCGCTGGACGTGGCAGTGACTTCGTTTTTTCGAATTGATAATTCCCAAAACTTACTTAGTTTATATTGTATTAGGTTGATGCAAAAGTTCTGTCGTTTCATTTTCAAAAATTTGTAACTTCGCGAGAATTCAACGGATTTGCTTGCTTGTAATTTTATTAGAAAGATTAATTCCTCCGCCAATTTTTGTTTTGTGGAGCTTTTGTTTCACATTGAGTGCAGAGATAAAAATGGAAAACTAAGACCATTTGAACTTTGACCATTTTGAGTTAGGTCACCAAAAATCTGGAATGCTGCAGAAAAGTCTAAAATCGTCAGTACATATGTTTTTTGACCTACCCTTTGCTGTGAAAAAATTGTGCTGTTTGGAAGTCTCCGTGAAAAGTTATGAATATCGAGTTTACTATGGAAAACGATAAAATTGATTTATTTGTCAATTTTCGCGAAAATCATAACTTCTCACAGAGACGTCCAAACAGCACAATATTTCTTAACAGATGCAAAGGGTAGGTCAAAAAACTTATGTACTGACGATTTTAGAATTTTCTGCAGCATTCCAGATTTTTTGGTGACCTAACTTAAAATGGTCAAAGTTTACATGGTCTTAGTTTTCCATTTTTATCTCTGCACTCAATGTGAAACAGAAGCTCCACAAAACAAAGATTGGCGGAGGAACTGATCTTTCTAATAAAATTACAAGCAAGCAAATCCGTTGAAATCTCGCAAGTTACAAATTTTTGAAAATGAAACGACAGAACTTTTGCACCAACCTAATATATTTTCAAATTCCTCCTGGATTTGGGGTTCTGAGCTGACAATTAACCTTATTCTTTGCGCCTTCGCATCTGCAGTTGTCTATATAGGAACAATTCAAGACGATGGCTTTTTCTTTCGTTTCGCAGCGTAAGTCTGGTTCAGTCTTTTGGCCTAGCGCAGTCTCTTCACCATTAGTTATAAATTCGTAGGTGGTGAGAGGTGTAGATGGGATGCTACAAACGGGTAACGTGCTTTTCACCAAGGGAAATGTTATTAGAATATTTGGAGTGCTTGAAGTGACAAAGATTCCTTTTTTAATCTGAGTTACTCTATGATCACTTCCATTTTCACTTCTTTTTTCCATTGAGACTGCATAGATTTCGGAAGTTTGTGGGATGGCATAAACGCGATAAAATGACCATCCAAAACTCGGATACAAGCAATCGCAGCCTAGGCCCCCGCGTGATTCCAAGCATCTTGTTCTGCCCGAATACTGATTTCTTTGGCGTAATTCAGGTAATAAGGTGGACTCGTTTACTGTTGCGCATTTTGTTCCTGTGCACGAGCCCATATGTGCGCACCGTTTGCTGCCAATAACATTCAACTCAGTTGCTCGTATGAAACATACGGTTTCCCGCAAGTCAATCTTGCACGCCATTGAATTTTTACGTTTGCAATTGAAGATGAGTTTTTGGTAAGGCGCAAACATGCGCTCTGTTTGAACGACTTAAGTTTAAAGAAATCGTTTATGCTAGTTCTGCAAGTTTCTTTTTTTGCCCGAAATCATGCAGTTGGTGGAAGATGCTCGAGTACATTGATGTTTTGGCAGGAAAGCACTCCGATATCCCCCTGTTTCAACAATACCGTAATCAGCGCTAAGGCCGCTGCTATTCTCATCACTCTTATTGTACGTTGACGTCTTTTGCGCAGTGCGAAAATAGTACATTTGACTATCTTGCGCAAATGACAGCAAAAATTTTCACAATCATGCCGATGCCGATTTAGCGTTTTTCCTATCAACAAAGCTGCGCACAAAGGGTATACAACGATGTGGTGATGACGTATAACAGAAATGCTAATAAGAAAATTGCTCCTTTCGGCCAAATTCACGGTGAAACGAAAGTTTAGCGCAGACTGTGCAGTCGAGGTTTTTGCAAAAAACAAGCGCAGGACAGCTGGTTCGAATGATAGAAAGATGTCCATTATCGCTCCATTTAAGTGTTACTAGATAGTCGTGTAGTGTGATTTCCGCTGGATCTTATATATAAAGCTGAATGTCTGTTTGTCTGTCTGTCTGTATGTATGATTGTCTCCACGATTCGTGTAGAGGTGTATTGCAGAATTTACCTGATAACATAGGTAAACTTGTTAAACCTCCACGTCATAGCAATGTTTTTTGTACTCTCTCGCCATCAAAAACCGCCACGCTTTGAGTTGGCAAACCCCCCCCCCCTCTACACGAATCATGGAGCCGATGATATGTCTGTCTGTCTGTGTGTACGTATGTTCCGAATAGAAAATTTCATTTCTGAACCGATCCGGACCAAACTTCGCACACATACACTTCGGGCCCCGGCGGGTGTCATAGGCTACTTTTCGTCATCGATCGATATTGATTTTATCGATTTTTTGCAAAATTTGAGCTACAGGGCTGGGAGTTGGCACAGGGGGGTAATCGAGCATGCTGATTACAAATATATTATTGACAGGGCCGGGCGGAGCCGGGTAAGCCATCTAGTTGCTTATAAACTATGGATTGACTAAATCATTTTTGCGCATCTCGCAATAGTTTTCTGCGCAAATTTCAAAGCTGGTGTTTGTTGAAGACGTAACTATGGTGTCATTTTTAGTGCGCGAAACTTTTGTTTCTACTGCGCTGTTTTCAGGGTTAAATTGCATGAATAAGATCATAAGGCGAAACAAGAACCAGTATTTCGAAGGTTTAGTTTTGGCTATGGTTAGCGCCGTTGTTGTGACGGTTTTTAGAAATTGTACAGGCTTTTGCATGCGTAAATAGTATCTGAAGTCCTTGCGTTCTGATGGAATGTTTTGGGTTAATTCTTAAACTGTCTCTTGTTCTTGTAGAGAAAAAATATTAATCTCTTTCTCTTTTAGTCCAAGAGGAACTAATGAGCTTACAGGGTGGTTTATTTTCCTTTTAGTGGATCACTTGCGCACCTGTTATCCATGCCCGTAAAAAGTTTCGCGATGCGGTAGTCTCCATTCATTTCGCGGAAGAAATAGATCCGTGATTAACACCACATTTCCTACTTTTGGCGTATCTTGTCCCGAGCGCTTAGAGATCCCACACATTTTTTATGTTTTCGCGCAAAGTCGTGAGGTATTAATGCTTCTATATTTTCCGGAATTTTTCTACGCGCATGTACGAGTTTTCTAGTGCTTATTATGCTTCTTTGGGCTTTCAGTACCTGAACTTTTTGAGGAAACAAATAGTCGCGAACACCATTTTGAGATTGGATGTGCGCTTGCGAGAGGTTAAAATTATCTCTTTGTGTAGGAAACGAGGCGCAGTATGCCGAATTCTTCTAATTCTGACCCGATACGTTAACAGTCTCGAATTCAAGCAGGCTTCAATTCCAGTTAGAACCGTAGCGAGTTGATCAACTGATGGTATCTGCAGCCCAGTGCTTTATGTAAGGAATGCTTGATTAATTTGATTAGGCGCTCATAAAATTCCCCCTTGTCATGGGGCGTAAGGCGTAATACAGGGTGTCCCAAAAGCAAGTACATAAGTACACACTTTTTAGACGTCAATATCTCTCTTCCCTATGGGTCTTTTTTGGCCATTCAAGTACCATTCTGTAGAGCGTGGTTCATCTTAGATTTACAGTCGGATCGAATCAAAGCCGCTCTTTGTTACTGTAGGATTACTGTAGGAACTTTGACAAGGATTTTGGGCCATTGGAAGCCATATTCTGCCTCGGAACAAAACCAAACAAGCCATAAACATGTATACTATGGTAATGGAAGCCGCTGATTTCGAATGTAAAACTTTTACTTTACTGTGGTGTTTCTTTCAAAAGCTATCCCAGCGCCTGCGAGGGTGTGCCTCAACGACTTGTGAAAAAAATTGGAACGCATAAAATTATCAAGGGATTGCTCGAAAGAGAAAGCTTTGAGCCGGGATTCGAATGCAACCCATTTTAAGCGACGGGTAGCGAATGCCAACTGCAACACAGCAGGTGGGTCTCTATAAGTAATGGCAAGAGAATATACTGGAAGCACGGAGGGAAGAAGAGGGCTGTTTAGCGCAACTCGGCTGGGACAGGTTTACGTTGAACGTAGGACGCCTTAGTCGGGATCCACTGAGCTATCTATCCGGAAATTTCCCTGTAGACATAATAGCAATGTACGTTGCATGAAAACGCAACCATCTGAGCAGGTTTGGTCGAAGGGCTGAGTAATTGGGATTTAACGCGCAAGGCCAAGGGTTGATCCGTCGTAATTTTTCGCTGCATCGCTAAGAAATCTTAAAAAACCGCTATCGAAAAAATAATAATGACCGCTATCAGAGATCTCGCGTAACAAACGAATAGACATAGCAACAGTATTGTGGCATGCATAGCGGTAAAAAGTTACAATTTTCGCAAAATTAGTAGAAAAATAGATTTGAGTCCTCTGAAAAAAAACAAGCATGATCTATAAAAAAAAAATGAAACTTTTTGAAATTTCTCGCCGAAATCAGCTATTCATTGATCCTATCCCGTTTAGGTTCCGAAATTTGCAGTTTTGAGAGTTTGACACCGCAAAAATACGTCAGCTAAGTTGTGCCGTAAGCTTCGAGCAACTTACGGGATTTTTGTCTGATTCTTCTCTTTTGCACACAGTCTCCTTCGGTACACCCCACGACTTACCTTTGGCTAAGCGGCATTCTGTTAAACTGACTTTAAGTACGGGAAAATCGGCGATATTAGGTTTAACCCATGAAGTTCTTCTGAGTGGCTCGTCTCAGGTCAATTGAGATGAATGGGGTTTAATACAGTCTAAAGAAGTGGCGAAAGGGACTGTGCGATTATCACGTACCCGTGTGCGTTGCAAAGCGAAGGCGGAACCCCAAATTGTTTTCGAAAACGTGTATACGAAAATGTATCTATTGCAAAGATTTTTGCACTATCCTCTTTGCTCACCAACGCCTGCTGTTTCCACCAGAGAAATACCACTGCGCTTTTTACTTGCTGAAGTGCGCACCGTGATCTGGACCATCATGACGTCTATGGCTTTGCGACTAGACCACCTCTGTCGAGCTTCGGTGAGCCGGAGCGGCATCACCTATACAGATCCAGCTCTTAACTTCAGAAGAATGAGATTTCAAACAGTGTAGAACTTCAAAAGTCCTTCTCTTCAACAAGGGCAAACAGAAGGATCTTCGGAATACCGTTCACATGCCTGCTAAGTGCACTGTACAAGCTTTTCGCGAAGGTTATCCTCGCTAATTATAGGACACTACTTGAAGCTCAGCCCTCAAAAGCAAGAGCTGGGTTCTGCAAGAGATACAACGGCATGAACCATATCCAGACGGTTTCGAGGGTCATAGAAGTCTAGTGAGAGTATCGACTCGAGGGATTGGCCCAGCTTATATGAGGATGTTTCTGACTGCTAAAGGACTGTACAACGACGATGTAGCTATTCCATTGCCCCTGACCATCCGCAGGTGTCCAATTAGGCGACACAATTTCGCTGATGCTTTCACCGCCGCTTTGCAGTAGGTGATGAAATCAGTAAATTGGTACGAGAGAGGCACATACGAATTGATGGGACTTCCCTCTCTGTACTTTGTTTTACGGACGACATTGTTTTCTTCTCAAGCAGTGTCATTGAAGCACAAACGATGTTGGAGGAACTCAACGAAGTAATGAAGATCGGACTGCAAATAACTTTGAAGACAACGCAGTTCATGAAGAACGCTTTTCGTGTGCGAAAATCAAATAGGAGAGCACCTCCACTATGGAGGTTTATTTTTGGATATGGAATGGGCTTCCGATGAACATGGATCGGATGAAGGGAAGAACTTGACGGGAGAAAAGAGCAACCTGGACCGCCTTAGTGCTCGTGAAGAATGCCAACAACCAAACAGACCTTGGCGCTTCGCCCCCCACCTGCCCTACTCAGTCGTTTTCTTAGTGCTCGTATGCAGCGGCCGATACTTCAGCTACGTTGAAAACTCTGCTGTCCACCTGTAGAGAAGTTGAGCGCATCATTCTGAGAAGTCGACATAAGCAACATTTTGCCGGATTTCGCAGCACGGATATAAGAAGAATATCCCGTCTTCGTGATCCAGCAAAATACGTTCTTCGTAAAACAGAACTTCCTCAAGATCACCAATGAAACGCGCAGACTGTTCTTAAAACTGATGCATCCTGAGAAATCAGCTGATTACGAATTCCGCACCTGTATTGCCGAGGTTGATAACCGCGATGAAACAAAAGCTTCGTACGAGTAGATATCGAAGTTATGTTGGAGAGGTCAACAGTGCAAGAACCCTTGTAATAAATGACGAAACTGTTGTGACAAATCAAATGCTATAGCAAAAAGAAATCGTATGTATTGAGTATAAAGCGACAGCCTTACCTTTTCTTGATTGTCTCCCAAACCTAGAAGTTCCACAACGTTTGAGACTAAGTAAGGTAAAGTCTTGTTCGAAAAGATAATATGAGAGCAATAAGGCAAGCACGAGCCAGTAAGTTACCTTGATCCGTTCGTTATCTTATTTTATGCGCTCTTTCAACGTAGAAACGGAGTGGTTGATTCGCTGCACCTCACTTCTCATTATGCGGATTTCATTATAAAGCAGATGAGTTCTGCTTTTGAGATTTTCAGAAGCCATATGGAGAATTTCCTCATCCAGTGCCTGGAAATCTATGATATGACCTCTAGTCAGAATGCATTTGAAAAGCACTCACCTCTTCCACTTCCATCTTTTCCGTTGCTGCAGCAGCCACAGGTGTTGCATCATCCTTGGCAGCAGTAGCCTTTTGCAAACATTCTGAACGTTCATGATATCATTCAAATCATTCAAAGATGATGAAAAGGCAAAACAAAGCAACGCAAAAAAGCAAAAATAAGAGTGAAAATGCTCAAGACGGACGATACTTCCAGCAATTATGATCACATCAAATGCAGGGTAATCAAAATGAGTACTTCTAGAATGAAGATAGTAAGATATGAACTTCCATGATATCTAAACAAAACAAATCTGGTCCCCGGATACTCGAGCAGATATTACGGCAGGTTGAAGTTGCAACTTCTCTCAACTTTTTTACTCGAAACCATGGAACCAATTGAACCAAGAACTTACTCTTTCGAAGTCTCACTGGTGTCCCCGAGTTGCTTTTGGAGATTATTTACGACGGCTTGTTCGGTGAATTCCGCAATCCGCAAAGCGAAGAGAAGAACAAAGTAGAGAGTAGCAGCAGAATAGAACAAGAGAGCGCGAGTGAAAAACAAAACGAAAACCATGTGAGAGCGGTGCGAACGAGTGAAATGAAGAATGCGGATTTCAAAAAGCTCCGTGGTCCGCGCTTAGGTGTGTTCGCAATATTTCGAGTACTACCATATCCCAATATTTTCAACGGTTTTCAAAGCCGTGCATTCAGCGCATAGGGTTTAGAAAAATCCCCCGTACCTTTTCTTAGAGGATGCGCTTAGGGGGGGGGGCAACTGCTACTGTGAAGAGAGGAAGGATGGCTCAGTAGAATAGTTTAAAAAAGGCTTTCGTTTGAGCCTTTTGAAGGTAAGTTAATGGGGTGTGGTACCCCCCCCCCCCCCCGCCCCTAAAAGCTGTGGCAGCCACAGCTTTTTTGAGGGGGGGGGGGGCACACCCCATTAACTTACCTTCAAAAGGATTTTTTTAGAATTTTTATACATGGAATGGAAGGTGAAACTTCGTACTACACACAGTAGAAATTTGAGCTGGATTGTTATTGTTTAGGATAAATAATGGTTGATGAGAGCGCAAGTATTGAAATTTGTAAGTGGGACTTGACATTCTTCTGATTCCACAGCTTGGAGGTTTCTTGAAGTGGGATTTCTCATGCAAGGTAAGAAGGGTAGTGCTTTGTATTGAGTGCAAAAAGAGATAGCTTACTCACCTTTAAAATGAAGTTAATCATGTTTGAAGTTACTGCTTCGTACAAGCTCGTTTACTACTCGGAGACCTCAGAGTTCGCTGAAACTTGGCGCATAGGGGTTATTCGACATGCTGATTACGACAATTATACTTGATCAGCGGTACGGTAGGTTACGGTAGGCATACGGTATCTGCAAGTTAGTGTCATTGAATTTGAATTTTGCAGGACTTCAACAGCGCTTTAGTCAAGTCGATTTGGTTACATAGCTTGTACAGCGAAACTAAATCTCTCCTCTTCTGCATTGCATCTCTCATTCAAATAAGATTTCTTCAAACACAACTCGCTGTGTAAACGGCAACACAGAACGAAACTCGCGAATATTTCCAATACCAACACAGTCACTTAACGCATCGTCATCATCATTATTATTGCCACTAGCATGGAAAAGTTAGAACTTCTGCTGTTTATTCTAAAAACGCTCGCTAAAAAAATTCCTCCACCATCGCGGAGGCAAACGGAACAGTGGCTCGAAGAGCACAGAAGAAGTTTTGCCGCCCGACATGAGGGCCGTACGTCAATTCGTTGTCGTTTACAAAGTAGCGGCATTATTGGAACTGTTATCCGAAAGGCCGGTAGAGCAAATGGGACTCCGGTCCCTTTCTCGATCGTGTGAACGATTTTTTGAAGTAGCCACAGGTGCGTTTAATGGAGCTTCTGGATGTCATGTTTAGGGAGTGTTTACCAAACTGAAAGACATGATCGCTGAGGAGACCGAAGCTGATCTTTATCCTAAAAACAATATATTTTCTTGCATGGCCCATAAATTGAATTTGGCTGTAAAGGCCCAGAAAAGTCCACTATTTAAACTTGCACAAGCCGTTGTCATGGACTCATACCATCTATTTGGATTTACTGTGAGAACAACCGGCAAGAGTGCGTACAAGAAAGCTGCACAAAAAATGTGCTTCCCAGACTTGCAGATGAGTGCTCTTTTCACAGTGAGATGGTCAGCTAGTTTTGCCAATTCACTCTCCAATATACTTCACGTTTACCCTGTGATTCTACAGGCACTGACGGATATACGAGATAACAAACGTTAGAACGCATCGATTTGGACTTCCTCAACAAATTACCCTAACAAAGATGACAGACGCCTTTTAGCATACAATTTTCAAGTGTTCGCAGATTCTTTACTTGACCGCTGCTCAGAGGGCGATGACGAAGAGCGGCAACGACTTCTGGAATGGCATATATTCAGAGACTTAGTTCGCACCACAACCTACGAAGAAAGCCCACCGGACCTAGACGATCCCGAAACTTTTAGCCTTAAAGATGCTCCAGAAAGTAGTGAAGATGACTTAAGGCACTATAGTTTAGCAAAGCGATATGAAGATTTTGTCTGGAACGATGCTGTATATCCTTGCATTATACGTTTCTACAACGACATGAAGTAGGCATTAGATGCACAGCTCGTAAATAAGCCTAATGAATTCAGTAATATTAATCTACTAGCATTGGATAAGCACATTTTACTGGATATAATTGAATTTAACGGAGATTTCAAAAACGGCTTTGTTGACTATGTACCGACAAACGCAAACTTTTTCAACAGAGGATGCCCGAGCTATTAGGTTGATGCATAATTCCTGCACCAAAATAGCTACAGACCGCAGTAATCTGGTAAAATCCTATATCCCAAATAGGATTCGATACATTATTAGATATAGCAAACCTAGCTCTACAAGATAGTGCTCAAAAATCTGCACCAGCTTTGATTCACGCGAAGTTTTGAGCCGAAAACTGAAAAAACCAAGCGTTCGAGAACCTTAAGACCAATCAAAACAGAATTGTAACTTTGTTCAAAAAGCTCCCACAAAATTTTCTTTCTTGCTCACGCGTAGACATTCCACGTAAGACATTTATCTGGTTGCTGTATTTTTTTCCCAGCTAGACGATGAGAAAACAAAGTTTTCCATGTTTTTGCCAAATCAGTGCTGCGATGTTCTAGCATTGACAGTCGTATACTATAGGTTTTTAGAAGCGTGAGTGTGAACTTTCAGCTCTTTACAGCAGCTGCTTTACGAGAAATATTGAATTTATAGCAACTAGGCAAGAAAAATTCGAATAAGAAGAGCACATTCGTCATTTTTCGTGAACTAGCAGGTTTAGAAGGCTGAAAATGTAAAGTTTTACTACTAACGGCATGTACTATGCAACTGTTAGTGCTAGAACATCTCAGCACTGATTTGGCAAAAACATGAAAAACTTCGTTTTCTCATCGTCTAGCTGAAAAAAATACAGCAACCGCACAGATAAATGTCTTACGTGGAATGTCTACGCGTGAGCAAGAATGAAAATTTTGTGGGAGCTTTTTGAACAAAGTTACAATTTTGTTTTGATTGTTCTTAAGGTTTTCGAACGCATGGTTTTTTCAGTTTTCGGCTCAAAACTTCGCGTAAATCAAAGCTGGTGCAGATTTTTGAGCACTGTCTTGTAGAGCTAGGTTTGCTCTATCTAATAATATATCGAATCTTATTTGGGATATAAAATTTTACCAGATTATTACGGTCTGTAGTTATTTTGGTGCAGGAATTATGCATCAACCTAATGTTTTATTATAGGAGCCGACACACTTAATCCAAATCTTCGCCAAAGGCAAATTTTGGACTCCAGTGAAGTACTTAGTCAGTTCTGTACCATCCCTGACCTCAAGGATAGCATGCTTCGCTTTTATAATACTATACCCGCGTCAGCGCAAAGGTTTTCAAAGTGGGAATCAAACTTCAGAGATTATTCAGATAGTTTGTCGTTTTATCGAACGCTGCTACAGTACAGTAAGGAGCTGCATGTCCCGGATGAGATCCAGCAGGTACTACACTTGCCGTCCTCTTTGGCTGCTGCAAAGCTTTTAGGCCACAAGAAACGTTCTCATCCTTCCAGCAAGCAACGCCGATCCCGAACGCAGTTTCTCTGCTGCTAACAGGCTCTCTAGAGAGGAAAGGAGTAACATAAAAACGGAGGCTTTAAACAACATCATGACGTAAGCCCTGTTGCTGTAAATATGCTCCAACATCATTGCATGTTTTAGAGTGCAGCGTAATGGACTTAGCATCCTAACGGTCAAACTTCAACAGTTAGCACTCCAACGGATGCATCCTGCACCGGGACTTGGGTTGGATCTGGATATGCCATCGAATCTAGCTAGAGAAGGCAGCCTCTGAAAGCAGTAAAAGAAAACCTTGCAAAAGGTTGGATTCACTTTACATTTTAAAGTTCAAACCATTCTAAGCATCTAGGAAATGCATATGAGTTGGCCAAACTCCATGTAAGGCGCCACATGGTGGTTCACTGCCTAAATGTTCGAAAGGACACAGATGAAATAGAACAGGCTGTTGCAAAAGAACTTGCTAAGATGAACATTTCTCATTCGGATCTTCTAAGAAAACAGACTGAACTTCGCTTCATAAATCACTGTTCATTTTCTCATATTAGCGTATGCACCCGATAAAGGTGTTTTTAAAAGGACATTCTCCACAGAAACCACAAGAACAATGCGCGTATGTTCCTCTTCTTCGACACAAGTCATTTAAATGTATCGTGCATTTGTATTGACGAAATCTTCACTTTCCCACACATAACTCGTCGGTCGTCACACCATCTTCCATTCACTGCAAAAGCTGCTTTTCAAGAAATTCTATTGAGAATACAACTCGTACCTAAACCAAGAGTCCATTTAATATTTCTCTCAATTATGTTGGCTGAGTTGTCAAAGGTAGTTGAAGAGTGTGGCACATCTAAAAAATTAGTTACAGTCAGGGTCAAGCGTGTTGATGCGATCCTGGACCCTCATTTACGACCCCCCCCCTTAAAGGTACCCATCCGTACGACCCCCCCCCCCTTCCCCCCCCCCCTCCCCCTCTTCCCATCTATCCCCCTTACCTCCCCTGCCCACATTTCTCGCGATAACCTGCATAAACGAATGTCAATATCAAAAAACACCTGCGTGAGAACTTCAGTAAGGTTTCAGAAGCAAAATGTCTAGACCAATGGGTGCACTTAGCATCTGTAGCACACATACGCACCTTCAGTAATGTTCGAGATTCTGCAAGTTTTTTTTCTGAATTTTCAGGCATACTTCAGGCCAGCAAATTCGATTCCCGTATGCGACACAAATTTTTACACGGAGAACAAAATGACATTCTTGATCTACGAAAGATGTTTTCGACTAAGAAGCTCAGTTTCTACCTCTTCCACAGTTTTTCCTGCGAAAAAAACCGCTTCGGCGCCGTCCAGAACGACGTCAAAAACGTGCATGAGCACGGTAGTTTGAAAATTCGTAACTAAGGCCAGGAAAAGATTGAGAGGCTGCAAAGAACAGGTTCTGTAGCA